AGCTTCATTCAGCTGGAGGAAATTTAGTTGCATTTAAAATTTTATGGCCAGCAAACAAGCCTCCGAGAGAGAGGCAGCAGAATCAATATCGTGCTTAAGTGAAATATAAATCTGGGTTTCATCAGCATAATAGCGAAAGCCAATCCCTATACTTATGAATAAGGTGTCTCACAGGCAACATATAAATTGTCAACAATGGTGGGACTAAGAATAGATCCCTGAGGGATGCCACAAATGACAGTAATGGCACACACATGCACACACAAGACTGCTAAAGATATGCAATTTGAACACAACTAGATCCAAGGACTGTTAGACTTACTCAGTTTCAGCATGGACCCTAATAAAGAATTAATTAATAAAATCCAGGTGGAGAAACACTCATGGCAAATCTGATCAGACATGGCTTTGAACTCATTTGAAGGCTTATTCAGTGGTGGATATGGCTCAAAGGTCATAACTACTTTTCTCCGACCACTGTGTCCACACAATCTGATCTAGCTGAACTTCTCTAAGCGGTTAAATAGCTTTTATATTTTTGGAAGGGTTAGAACTTTCAGTAGCCCACTGCATTGGTTTTGCCAGGTTTTTGCACATAAAGTTGTTCATATCTATTTCATGTTCACACCACCATTTCCCCAATACTGTATTACTATTAGAGTTATCCAAGTTCTTCTCCAGTCAGATTTTATTTGATTAATCCCATTTCTTGGCATGTGAGGCAGAAGACTTGCTTCTATTCACCCTACAACTTGTTCACTCAACCCACCATGACTCATGCTGAATTGCCAAGAGAAAAAGACTTCCTTAGGAGAAGCCAATGTTTCAACTAGTTTGAAAAAACCACAAGTGAGCTGCCTTAAAAAGGACCACATGATTGGAGAGCTATAGCCTGGGTTTCCAATCTTCCATTTTTGGTCAAGGTCTTCTAGCAAGTTGTGGCTGAGTGTCTCTAGGTAGTGTTGCTTGATGCATATTAACCAGGCATTTTTCAATCTTGCTTCTAGCCAGAATGTGGGTTGTGTCAGTCAACTTGGTTGATGACCCTTCTTGGAAAAGACAGGGGAAATGTGATTTGTTTATTTTCCTGGACCTCCTGGCAACTTTTAATACATTCAGGCATGGTGCCCTTCTAGATCAATTCATGGAGTATTGATTTGCAGTGGCTTCACTCCTTCGTTGCCCAAAGATTCCAGAAGGTAGAAGTGGGATACTATTGTCATTCCCTGAAGAAGCTCGCATCTGACATTCAAGGTATCTAGTCCCCTTCCTTTGTTTTTTAACTTCTGCATGAGACCACTGATAGAGGTCATCCAGAGTTTTAGAGTGGGTGACATCAGCATAAGCTCTGTTTCATCTTTCCATCCGAACCAGACATGACAGTTTTGTCCTTGAATGAGTCATGCACTGCATGAGGCTGAATAACTGAAAAATTAATTTGCAGAAGGCACAGTTCCCTGTGGTGGGTGGTCCTAAAGCTGGAGAATTGCCCATCATAGGTAGGGTCACACTCTCCCAAAAAGACTAGCGTGTTAGGCTAGGAACAACTTGATTTCTCATATAGAGGCTATGCTAAGGAATGTGTTCTGTTAACCTTGGCTGATACAACAGGTACATCACTCTCTGTAAAACAGAGCCCTTGCTATGGTTGGACATGCCTTGGAAAACTCTGTCTGGAGTCTGGACTATTGTAATGTGGTGTATGAGGGGCTGCCTATGGAGACAGTTTGGAAACTTGAGTTGATCTAGAATGCGACAGTCAGTGTAGTGATGAATAAAGGCTGCCAGAGTGCATATCAAATACTGCAGGAGCTCTGTAGTTTGTTTCCATCCTAATTTCAAGGGAATACATCTTACTGTTAATGTCCTGTATACCTGGGCCCAGAATACCTGAGAGAGCACCTGCTGTCCACTAAACACTCTCCACCTAGAACCCTTTCCCTTGTACATTGCAAGTTATTTAGGATCCATGGGGTTGTAGTCAACTAAGTCCTACTCAGAATGAACATAAATTGTTGTTGTTGTTTAGTCGTGCCCGACTCTTCGTGACCCCATGGACCAGAGCACGCCAAGCACTCCTGTCTTCCACTGCCTCCTGCAGTTTGGTCAAATTCATGCTGGTAGCTTCGAGAACACTGTCCAACCATCTCGTCCTCTGTCATCCCCTTCTCCTTGTGCCCTCCATCTTTCCCAACATCAGGGTCTTTTCCAGGGAGTCTTCTCTTCTCATGAGGTGGGCAAAGTATTGGAGCCTCAGCTTCACGATCTGTCCTTCCAGTGAGCGCTCAGGGCTGATCTCCTTAAGAATGGATAGGTTTGATCTTCTTGCAGTCCATAAATTAGTCTTGTCCATTAACTTCAGTGTCTACTCTGAGCAGGATCAGCATGGCATACCATGCATCATTTGCATAATTAAAACAGTGGAGTGGGGAAAACATTCCCTGTAATGCTTTTGCCTGTATGCACCATGTAGTGGAAAGAAGGAAACAGGATTATATTTAGACCCATAGAAACCCTGTTGTGAATAGATTATATGCATTACACACATGAAAGAATGTACTCCAGAAGAATGAAATAATGGCCATTGACAGACTTCAGTTCACTGTTTTAAATAACCAATAAGATCATGTTTAAGTTCATTTACTTAATTAACTTTTGTCTTTATGAAAGGTGATGTCATATTAAATCTGCTGGATGTTAAGGTGCCACAGGATTCTTTGCTTGTTTGGATTTTGTGATAATCCTATCCTGTAGAAAGAGGTATTGTCAACCTTTTAAGACCCAGTACTCACATGCATTTGAGGACCAATTTCTCAACCTTTTGGCATATATTTGCTCCTTTTGTGACCCACCTTGGATCAGGCTGTGACCCACCAGTGGGTCTCCACCCACTAGTTGAAGACCAGTGCTGTAGAAAGCACATGGTAGCTATAATACATTTTAGAAAATAGAGGAAAAATGAATTTCCAGTGCCTCTTCTCCTCCCCTTAGTCTCAGACACGAGACATCTACTCATTTAAGAAGCTCACACTGCTTCCAAAACACATTGAGCACCTGATTTAAAGGCGCTTACCTCAACCATAATGTACCGGATAGTTTTTTGAAAAGATTTAATAATTTTGTCCACAAAGAGTCCAATTATAAGAAAAAAGTATCCCCTCAGGTACATTAACTGGAAAGAGAGGGATGTGGGTAGGGGAAGAGGGGGGATAAAAAAGATACCAGTCTCTAAAATAAAGCGATCTATTTTGGAAAGAATCCTAGCAGTTACCTCATTGCCATTAAGTTCATTGAAGTTTAAGGAAAATTACATCATTAGAAAGAGTAGGAAATCAAGTAACCCAAGAGCCATCGTCAGCGATGAAAGATGGGCTCCCCCAAGATGCCAGACGTTTTGGCATACACTTGCCAAATGGAGGTCACACACTTCTCAACAGCAGCAATACAGATACAGTCTGATCACCCAAGAACATTCATTGGCAAACAGAGAAGACATCCAAAGTTCATTAGGCTTTATGTTCTCTTCAGAAAAGAAGACATGGGAATAATGACTGAAGTGAGAGAGTTATTATAACCTTTCCTTTAAAGTTCATGGCATGGTTAAGAGGCCTCTGGATTTACTATTATGCACATACAATACAAAAGCTATCTCCATCTAGAAATAGCTCTGCAGTGGTACCCCGGGTTATACACGCTTCAGGTTACATACGCTTCAGGTTACAGACTCCGCTAACCCAGAACTATTACCTTGGGTGAAGAACTTTGCTTCAGGATGAGAACAGAAATCGTGCTCCGGCGGCACAGTGGCAGCAGGAGGCCCCATTAGCTAAAGTGGTGCTTCAGGTTAAGAACAGTTTCAGGTTAAGAACGGACCTCCGGAATGAATTAAGTACTTAACCCAAGGTACCACTGTATGTGGAGCCAAGCCAGGCCATACACATCAAGAACAGAATGCTCAGCTCACACCCACACTCGCACCCCCTTCCAGTCCTGATCAGACTCGCAGCTTCAACCTCACCAACAGGGCAACATCCTCTATTGAAGGCTACAGTTCAGGGGCAGGACATTTACTCTACATGCACAAAGTCCCAGGTTCAATCCCCAGCATCTCCAGGTAGGATTGGGAAAGACTGCAGACTGAGAGAGTAGCAGCCACTCAGAGTAAACAGTACTTCCCTGTGTGGGAAGGAGCTTCAACTGAATGATTACTGTAACATGCTTTATGTGGGGCTGCCCTTGTATCTGGTCTGGAAGCTTCAACTAGCGTAGAATGCAGCAGCCAGCCAGATTACTATGCCAGGTTCAACATATTCTGTTAATTCGTGAAGTCCTAAGCAAAGCGGGCTCAAAGGATCTTAAGAACCACCTGATTCCCCATGCTCTACTTTGATCACTGAGATCCTCTGGTGGGGCACTTCTGGTGGCTCCTCACACCCCTGAGATTCAGTTAGCCTTCACTAGGGGCCAAGTCTTCAGTGTGGCAAGTTCTGCCTGTTGAACGTCCTACCAACAGTGGTTCAAGCAGGATGCATCCCTTCCTTCTCTCACACATCTTTTGAAACTATATTGTTTTGACAGGCCTTTACAATATAAATGGTATATTTTTATGGATGCTTCTTGCTGGTTTTATTTTTATATGTTGTACGCTACTTGGATAGATTTTTATGAAAGCATGGAGTATAAATATGCAAACCAACAAAAGTGCTGAGAGCATTCACAAACATTTTGCACCATGCCTCTGAAAATATGTCAGTTTCTGTGCATTACAAAAAATGTGTATGTGTAAAAATGGGAATCACTGTGCCAAAAAACGGGGAGGGACATTGACTGTATTTAATTCTCGAAGCCCTTTTTGTACATGTGAACTATATGGAATTATTGTAACACTTTTTCTGAGTATATAGTCTTTTACAGTATATTAACAATTTAGCAATAAAACTTCTTTCCTAAGATGTTCATAGGAATCATAGCATTAGGTCTTCATTCTGTATGTGACATACCTGATATTCATATTCAGTAAAAGGCAGAAGTGTGGCATCTTTGAAGGATGTGGATGAACCATTATAAACAAGGACCAGGTCTTGATTTAGTTGCTCAAGTGTTACTTGTCTTCTGTAAAGCTCGTAATATAAGATCTTTCCATTTGGTTGCTTTGGACCTGTCCACACAATGGAAAGAACAGACTGGATTCCACCATGGCTTGACTGCACATCTATGAGTGGGGCTGGCTGGATTTCAGGAGGTGCTTCAAGGGTCTGTAGAGAAGCCCATTCACTGGAAGTGCAGCCCAGGAGTGTGCAAGCTTGCACTTGGACTTCATACCTTTAGAAAGACACATCAGAAGGAAGTTAAGTAAAAGGAGGGCTATAAACGTATCTATTGCACATACGTGTAATTACAGTAAAGATGTTCCAAAAGAAAGGTGTGCACAGCAGTGTTGTGTTTTAAAATATATGCAAATAATAATACTCTTGGTGGCTCCCAACAAAATATTAAGAACACAATAAAACATCAACCTTTTAAAACTTCCCTGTACAGGGCTGCCTTCAGGTGTCTTCTAAAAGTCATATACAGCCGTACCTTGGTTGTCAAATGGAATCCATTCCGGAAGTCCGTTCAACTTCTGAAAATGTTCGACAACCAAGGCACGGCTTCCAATTGGCTGCAGGAGCTTCCTGCACTCAATCGGAAGCTGCAGAAGCCATGTTGGATGTTCGGGTTCCAAAGAACGTTCGCAACCGGAACACTCACTTCCGGGTTTGTGGAGTTCGGGAACCAAAATGTTCGACTCGCAAGGTGTTTGGGATCCAAGGTATGACTATAGTTATTTATCTGTTTGACATCTGATGGGAGGGCCTTCCACTGGGTGGGATGTTTCCTTTCCCTCCACTTTTTGCACTGTGGTGCAAGTAGTAGTAGTAGTAGTAGTAGTAGTAGTAGTATTTATATACCCCACCAATCCGGCTGGGTAGCAAGCATAATGGCCTCACATACATGAAGGTCCAGAACCTTCAATGCATGTGTGGATCTCTAGCATAAGCACTCCCCTCCCTCCATTTAGTTCAGTGTAAAGCAAGAGTTGCAAACATGCACACCCCTTTATCTCCTTTGCTGAAATGGATTGAGACATTCCTGCATGTGTGCGCACTGCGATCCCCATGTCTGCAACAAATCAGCATGGTTTATATATTAGGAACACAGTACTTTGAATATATTTGGTGAGATAATGGCTATGCTTTGCCTGAACTAGAAAAAAGTTGCATTTGAATGTTAAAAGTTCCTTATATCTACTGTAAGACAAACTGCAGGTTCCTTGTTCAGTCAACCAATTAGGTGGCTTATAATTTCAAAATATATGATGAAACAGAAAGCTTAACTCAGGCCACTCAAAGTTAGCTGAAACAAACAAGTCTTACCACATTTCTAAAAAATATAATCATGCTGCAACATTTGTATCATAAGCTCCGCTAAAGAAAAAGGATCAGGCTTTGTGATCTGAACTCGCATTCCAGCCTGTCTGCATTAAATTTACAAAATTAATTGTTAGCCTACCACAGCCTGGTAGCCTCCAGAGGTTTTGGACTGCCAGCCAGCTGAGAAAAGCTGGGCCATGACTATCTGTGACTCAGACAGAACTTTTATCTTCCTCTGCCCATGCTCTTATTTATAAAATAATGACGGGAGATCAAAGAGACTTCTACTGCACAAATGTATGCATTACTTCTCCACTTAGCTAGCAAGTGAAAACATGTTAAAATAATTGGTTGAAAACCTTGCATGTGCATCCAGCCACTTCCTATAAGTTTCCACTGAAAATAATGGGACAACCCGTTCTGGGAGGAAAAGAAATGAGCACTCTTGTCCTGCAATTCCGAGATTGCTATGCATCAAAAGGCAGGGAATGTGATGCACACTGTGTGCTTAGGCCTATACACATACTTAGAGTTGAAAAGGAAAAAAAGTAGGAGAGTTTTCTGAAGCTATTGATAAAAGGTCCTCTTCTAATTGAGCAGCTAGTGGCATATTAAAGATCCCATTGACAAGGGCTGGCTATAAGAAAAATAAAAATTGATTGATTCAGTAAGCACTGCTGAATGGAGAGTTGTCAGTTTTTACAATGTATAATCTACTATACATTCAGATCAAAGCTGCCACAGCCACCCTCCATTCAGTACTGAGGACCAGTCTGAAGAGATCTCATAAACTTAGTTGGTAATCTCAGGTTTGAGCCCCACATTGGGCAAAAAGATTCCTGCATTGCTAGATGACTCCTGCAGTCCCTTCCAACTCTACAAATATATGATTCTATGATTCATACCTTGAGACATTGTTCATAATGTATTAGCAGGAATATTTTGGCAAACTCCACTAGCCTAGCATCACATTCTGAAGGCATAGCTCTGTTAGACAGCATAGCCAGTGGCTTCTAGGGGCCGAAGCACTTTTGGGCCCCCTCAATGTTCAGCTCCGCCCTCCTGCTCCTCATGACATCGCGTGTGTGATACCATGATGTTGTGTAGGGCTCCCTCAATCATGCTAAGAAGCTGGTGCCTCTGTTAGGGAGAAATATGGGGTCCTTCCTGCTAAGTCTGTTTTTACATGCTGGTTGGTCTTCTGCATCTTGAGGATACCAACCTCCCAATTCCCCCCCTAACTGGTAGAACAAACTGGTTACAGGGAGCCAAAATTCACCAGTCATCTAGGACTGCATTGGCATAAGAGCATTTTGTTTTGATTTTTCATGTGTCACACTATGATCAGAATAACAGACAATATTCATGCACTGAAGTACGTGTTCACAAGTTACCTGTGATAGGGTTTTAATGCTGCGAAAGTGTAGTACCGTCTCCCAAAGGAAACATGTGTTGACTCCAGATGAACAGCTTTCTTCTCCGATTCAATAGGGTCCCGCAGCGTGATTGTATAGCTGACTATATCCCCATTGACTTTTGCTGGTGGGTCCCAAGTAACCAAAATTGCCTCTGAGGACCATGCCTGCAATCGAGGAGGTGACATTCCAGATGGGGCAGAGGGATTAGTTCTGCTTGTGGCTACAGCACTGGTGACGCTTCCTTGGCTGTTGTTTGCAGTAACAGCGTAGCTGTATTCTTTTCCTGGAGTTAGCATGAAGTCATGATAACGAGTGTCCAGCCCCAAATAAACCAGAAACCCGTCTCTCCTTAGCTCGTAACTTTGGATTTTGCCATTTGGATTTGCAGGAGCCTTCCACGTGATTTCAATCGATTCTGAACCTGTCACTAGCAAGCTGGGGGCATCTATATTAAGTGGTGCAGCCTCCATCGTCCAAACAGATTGGGGTGCACTAGCTGTACATCCTCCATTGGTACAAGCAACTAGCATGATGTCATACCTGGTATAAGGCTGTAGATTCAACACTTTTCTGAATAAACTTTTTCCAACATAGAGCTCTTCGCCATTTAATTTTAAAATGTACTTTGTGATTTCTCCATTTTGGATCTGGGGTGGTAACCACGATATGTTCATTTGGGTGGAACCAAGATCTTCTAGGGTGGGAGGGTTCACGAATGCTGGAGCTGCCTCGAGTGTCCGAATACTGGCATGGTTGCTGGTGGAGCAGCCTCCCATAGTACAAGCAGTTACTGCATAGTTGTAATCTGTATATGGCAGTAACTCTTCATCCGTATAGTTGAAAGTAGCAGCATCAAAGCTAAAAGGATATGGAACGTTATTTCTGTGGAGCCTATAAGACTGCAAAATGCCATTGGGCTCTTCTGGGGAGGACCACAAGATCCAAATTTTGTTTGGACTTTTGGGGATATATCTCAAGACAGGTGCAGCCAAGCCCACTGGGGCAGCTTGACTGGTCTCTGCAGCAGACCATGAACTGTCAGCGTAACCGGCTGAATTCCAGGCACGTATCTTATATTCATACTTAGTCCATGGCTGCAAATGTTGAGCACTGTATACAAATGTAGTGCTCCCAGTGTTATATTCGGTGAAAACATTTTCCTCTTCTTCTGTTGTTGCATTGTTCCCCGAAGCATTTCCTTTGCTGCGTCTCTGAATAACTTCATAGCGCATTATTTTTCCGTTTGAATTAATTGGCGGAGACCAGCTCAGTCCAATGCCAGTCGCGTTCACTGACTGGATTACAGGGGCCAGCTGAGATTCAGGAGGGGCTTCGTCCGTCCAGATTGGCTGGGATGAAGAGCGGCTGCAGCCAGCTGCAGTGCAAGCTTCAAGGACTAGGATGTAGAGAGTGAAAGGCTCTAGGCGCTTGAAGAGAAACTGACGAGACAAACCACTGTATTCCAGGTTATCATCGTTGAAAATATTGTAGGTCTGGAAGAAAAATAACACATATCAACAAAAGCTATACGTTACTGGCAAGACATTCACAGCCGAATCCTGCAACTCAGGCCTGCATTGCTTCCAGCTCAATAAGCCAAACGCAGCCTGCCAGATATGTATGACTCCCATCATAGACGCCATAAACAGCCTGTCAAATACTCTGCAAGCCACAATAAATGTTTGGTGTGCGCCCATAAAACCTGGAACATCCACCTTCAACCCTTCCCTCCTCCAAAAGAACAACATTAGTTTCTGCAAGAGATGTTGAAAGGAAAAGCCGTATTAAGGTGATCATTCTGTGAGGGTATGCATTTCGGCATTCCACAGTGAAATGTGGGAGCAGACTAGTTACACACACACACCCCAGCAAAAGGGTGTCTGCACCCTTTGCCTCTTATCTTAGGTTCTAGAAAGGCTGGTTTTTAAAAATGAAATCTGGGATTATGGTTCATCTGACAGAAGGGGAATAACCTTAACCTCCCTGTGGACATCAATGCCTGTGTTGTTGTGATGAGGAGCGATGCGGGGGGCGGGGCGGGAAGGAAACTCATATGTACTGTCCTGGGCCTCAGGAGAAGGCTGGCCTACAGTGGCCGCTCACTGTGTCTGTGGGGAGCAACAGTTGAGGCCTCCTCTGTGTATGAACCCAGCAACTAGGCTGTGTTTGCTTGCAGGCTGGGGCTGGGGAATTCCCCTTGGCTGGTGGTATCAATGGGCGGTCTTCCCGCCAAAGAGGGCTAATTTGAATGGGCCAGTCAGAGGCCCCGTTTGGAGGGTGGTGCCTCACTTGCTGGTTGGGCATTGGCTGTTGCCCTGCCTGGCCTGGCAGCGAGGCTGAAGGCTGCCATACAGTCTACATTGGACTTGTCACAGTGAAGCCTCTGACAATAACTGGCTGAATTTATGTGACTAAAGACTTGGAAACTTCTGTTGCTCAGGGATCCATAGTTTGCAGTTGAATATATGTGACAAAAGGGAATATTGCCAGTTTGGCATTAACAGGATTAAACCCTCACTTGGAGACGGGGAAAGGTCCTGAGAAACAAGGAACTGAAGATCAAGCTGCATATCAAGCAAGCAAACAAACCAGAGCAATCAGAAGGAGCAGCAACCATTCCTTCCCCAATTGTTATTTCTGAGAGAAAGAAAAGGCCAGTGATTGTGTTCCTAGAAGGAAGAACTATTGCAGAGGTCAGCAAACTTTTTCAGCAGGGGGCCGGTCCACTGTCCCTCAGACCTTGTGGGGGGCCAGACTATATTTTGAAGAGAGAAAAAAAGAATTCCTATGCCCCACAAATAACCCAGAGATGCATTTTAAATAAAAGCATACATTCTACTCATGTAAAAACACGCTGATTCCCGGACCGTCTGCGGGCCGGATTTAGAAGGTGATTGGGCCAGATCTGGCCCCTGGGCCTTAGTTTGCCTATCCATGAACTATTGCCTCCTCTCACTCCCCACCCCTGCACTCTGAGAAGCACCAAAAGGAAAGCAGAAAAGTCCCCAAAGGTAAAGAACAGAAGGTCCAACTAAATGTCACATTAAGCTGCTTTGGGCGGCTTTTCATTTAATATATAAGTGGCAGCTTTAATCACACTGTTGTTTTTTAAGCATGCTTAAATAAATAGGATAAGACAACAAATGTAGAGAAATTATAACACGTCATGCTGTTTAATGGACAATCTACTGCAGTTCTGTTTAATGCAGGATATCCAACTGTTCATGGTAACAAACCTATAGAGCTCTTTGTAATTCTAAGAATGTAGCCCAATACCCATCAAAAGGACACCACTTGCAAAATGATTACTAAAAACCTGTGATAGCTACATCTTCATACAATCATACATATATCCTACAGTCAAAGGTGGGGAAAGAAAGGTAGAAAAGGAAAGAAAAATACCATGAGAATTAAATTTAGCAAAGACAGTGCAAAGGAAGAAAGTAATTATGACAGAAACGGGGTCCTCAGCATTTCACACATATATCTTGCCTGTCGTGAGCACAAGAGTCTTCATGGTGAGAGTTTCCTTTGGGTACTTCCCATATAACCAGCTTTACTTTCATTTGAATACAGTGGTACCTTGGGTTACAGATGCTTCAGGTTACAGACGCTTCAGGTTACAGACTCCGCTAACCCAGAAATAGTACCTCGGGTTAAGAACTTTGCTTCAGGATGAGAACAGAAATCGCGTGGTGACAGCGCAGCGGCGACAGCGGGAGGCCCATTAGCTAAAATGGTACCTCAGGTTAAGAATAGTTTCAGGTTAAGAACGGACCTCCAGAATGAATTAAGTTCTTAACCCGAGGTACCACTGTAATTTAGGACAACATCACTCAAGGCCAGTTCTATGGTTAATGGGGTCCCTTAGTAAAGTATCACCCAATGTCATGGCCCCATAGTTCTTCTTTGGCTCATGGGTCTTGGGAGTTTTCTTAGATAGTGCCTGTTGCTCCAGATCATTTAACTAAGAACAGGGAAGGATCAAAGGAAGACATCATCTATGCTGGTGGCTGTCTATCGATGCAGGACCTGACATCACTCGCACCTTACATACAAACCACACATCCCTTCCGAACTACAAAATGGACGGCACTTTTCACCATGTATTCAGCAATGAAGTTCTACCGTATGTTCATACCTTTCCACCCCAATTAAGTCATTTTCTAGCTTGGGCTTACCTTAATGTTGCCATTGGGCTTGGAAGGCTCTGCCCATTTAAGCAACAGCGCCCTGCCGTTCTCCTTCTTTTCCACGGTAAAGTTGGCCAGGCCACTTGGGGGGGCTTCCAGGGTGCGCACGGAAGTCCATGGACTTGAAACTTGCCCAGCGTTGTTGACAGCAACAACATGAATATGGTAAGTTGTGAATGGCTTCAAACCAAACAAGTGAGTTTGATGCGTTGTTCCCTGCAGCAGAAATACACAGAATATTCTTTCATTTGGTTGAATAAATGAATTATGGTGGGTTGTTGAATAAAACTTATCTTGAAGGCCCAGCACTAACAGGCAAATTTTACCAAGTTTGTGCATAATCTTCAGCAGGCACAAAGGGCCAAAAAGGATGTGAGGCCTATATTCTGACTGATATTGTTGGGATATAGTTCCCATCTTCCCTGATGACCATAATGGCTTATGGGACTTAAGAGTCCAAAAGTACTTGGAAGGCCATGAGTTCCTTCTCTCTGTCCTATTGCCCTCCCTTATCCTAAATAATAGGGATGCAGGTGGCTGTGTGGTCTAAACCACTGAGCCTAGGGCTTGCCGATCAGAAGGTCGGTTTGAATCCCCGTGACGGGGTGAGCGCCCGTTGCTCAGTCCCAGCTCCTGCCAACCTAACAGTTCGAAAGCACGTCAAAGTGCAAGTAGATAAATGGGTACTGCTCTGGTTTCGCCAGAAGTGGCTTAGTCATGCTGGCCACATGACCCGGAAAAACTGTCTGCGGACAAACGCTGGCTCCCTCAGCCAGTAAAGTGAGATGAGTGCCGCAACCACAGAGTCGTGCGCGATTGGACTTAACTGTCAGGGGTCCTTTACCTTTAGCTATCCCAAATAATATCCTGTTATAGTTCTCTTTTCCACAAACACTGTGCCATTGTTCCCACATTTATATTTATATTATATTAGAATTTATTTTATATTTATTATATTACTTCGTTGTGCCTACAAAAAGTGTAAGGCAATGCATTTTAGCCTCACAATAACCCTGTGAAGTAGCTTCGACTGAGACATAGACAGTGGCCCAAAGTAACCTAGTGAGAACTTAATTGCTGGGTATGGAACTGAACCAGAATCTCTTTAGCCACAGTTCCTAACTCTACTCTACACTATACTCATGCTCTCAAATAGACTACATCCCTATATCATGGTAGCAGGCGCTGACTCCCCTCCACCCTGTGAGTAGCCAGTGTACTGTCTGTACATCTTCACACGCACACACTGTACATGCTTAGGCTAGTTCACACAACTGGAAACTGTGCTTTTTGCAGAGTTCCCATTGCTGTATACATAGCCTACACAGGTCCATTTTGTACACATTTAGGGCTGTGCAGCAAAATATGCCGTGCATATATCCACTTCATAGTGGTGCAGAGAAGGGCTTTTTGCATGGTGGTACTCACCTTGTGAAATGAAAATACTCAGAAGATCAACCAGCTATTGAGTGCTTCCATTGCCAATTAAAATCTTTCACCCAAACATTTCCTGACTTTTAATACCTGCTCCTGGCATATTGGACTTCTCTACTTGATACTGATACTTTGCTTTTATTGTTATATCTTGTTATCTTTTATCCTTTTTTTATGATGTTAGCCACTCTGAGCCCAGGCGGGATACAAATAATTTTATTATTATTGTTGTTGTCTGTAAACCACCATTGTATTTCTTTCAATGAAAATAATCTTATATGAAAATATTTTATATCTGTCACAATGCCCCCTGCTCCTTCCAAACAATTTGATGGCATTCATTTCAAATCTGTTAGATTAGAGTACATTTTCTCTTTTTCTGGTGGTTAGGTCTATCTCCTTCATCGTGCAAAGAAGTCAGGAGTCAATTCTCCAGTTTTGTGTTAAGTGGCTAAAAGCCAGCACTTCTAACCTTTTAAATATTTAAGTATCTGTTAAGCTAACAGACTCGGAAACAATTTTTTTGCAGAAAAAATAATCATTTCTTTTTTAAAATATTAAAAGTTAGATGATAAATAATTAAATGGTTATTTTCCCACAACAATGAGCTTTCCTTTTAGATAAATATAATGCAGCATTTGAATGTCCATTCTGAATATTAAAACTCAACATGCCACCAGTACTGATTATAAATATACTTTTCAATGACAATTATTCCTCCCCTCTCCCTGTTAAACAGGGCAGGCAGCAGTAAGATTGATAATGAAGAGAGGAAGGGAGAGCTGAAAGGATAGTTATTGTTAGGAATTCCTAGTCACCCATGCTTGACAATCCTACACTTGAAGCACTGTATTAATCAGATACTGAGGTCAAACACAATGCAATTCTTTACATGGCTAATTTACATGAAAGTCCCATTGATTTCTATAACACTTGCTTCCAGACAATTGTGTGCAGGATTGCAGCCTTAGCCTGAAATCCTATACGTATTAATGCGGCAGTAAGTCCATTGACCTCAACGGGGCTTACTTCCGAGTAGATATATATAGGTTGCAGTCTTAGTCGTAGTTTTTCAGAGAGAGAAAATAATAGTAGGTTGAATTCAATGGTGAATGCCCACTGACAGAAGGTATCCATAAGTGAAATGGGGAAAGGGAAATTCAGAGGGTACTTCGGATATTGAGAAGGTGCAGGACACTGCAAAGACAGAGAGAAATGGTGAACGTTCCACTGATCCACTGTCTTCGATCAGTGAACACCCAGTGAAAGGTATTTGACAAGGATTCCAGAATGTAGAAACATAAAATTGGATTATTGGTTCATAGGTAGTATCCGGCAGTATCCATCCACTGACAGGCGGCAGGGTCTTCCATAAGCAGTAAATTGGTAACATTTTTGCCGATTCCTCCTCCTCTATCTAGCTGCAACCCCCCCCCCCCAATCTACTCCAGAAGCATGAAGACCCTTTGGAACAGATTGGGAGGTGACATAGGATCTTAAAGGCATGGGGCAAAAGGAGAATCAATACTTCCCCATCTCTGCTCTCAGAAGCTTCTACTGGATTAAAGAGTCACCCTTCAATGGAGGGGCATAATTGGCTACACCTCCCATATATGCACAGGTGTGTCACTATACAGGGCTGGTAGTAATGGTCTATAATGATTTCTTCACCCCAGTATCAACTCCTATGGGGTAAAACTCTGACACCATCATGTTTGTTTGTTTCCGCTTAAGTTCAAAATCTCTTGATGTTATGAATACAGGGTTGGCACAGCCATTAGGCAAGCCGAGATTGCTGCCTCAGGTGGCAGAAGCCCCGAAGCAGCACCCCCCAGGTGCCCCACCACTGATTCTGGGTGAGATCTCACCAATTTCTGGCAATATATTGTGGAATGCAGGAGACCTCACACAATTTTGTCACAATCTTGCCACAAATTAGTGACGATGCTGGTGCTGCTCTCTGGTAGCAGGGGCACAGGGAGCGACGCTTCCTGTTTTGCCCCAAGCCGTAAAATGGGACGCACCACCCCTGCATAAATAAACAAAAATAAGGTGCACTGTAAAGCCACCTTCTCTTCAAGTGTTGTATCAATATGAAACATAAGCCTAAGGTTGCTGAAAATAGATTCAAGTTCTTTGCATCCAAACTAGGTCACTATAGGAAAGATGAGTCCTGAGCCAATATTGTTCTTTTTAAATTATTTTGGTGTGTTTTTTTAAATGTACTTTTGATTGTTCATGGATTAGATATGCTCTTATTTTAAAAGGCAGAATTTGGGTACATGCATATTGTGTTTTCTGCTTCTCTGCTGCAACTGTCTTGATCACCCTACCCTGTATGACGTTGATGGCTTGTAGACCAAAAACACTGAAACCAATGTCAAGCAGTTGCTAAAATCAATTTTTGTTGGGGGGTCATTTAGACCCCCCCCCCAGGGTCTTGGATGCTCTTCATTTTCTGTTATTCAATGGAAGCTAACTGACCCCAAGTCTGCTTTAGTGAAACAGTAACCATCATCCAATGCAGCCAAATATGATCAGTCCACATTGGGTTGTTGTTTGGTTTCCACTTGTAGAGGTCCCACCCTAAAGTCTTTTCTACTTTACTACCTCTGGGGAGTCCTCTTCCCCCCAGGATGGCCCTGTTCTGTGTGGATGTGCTGTTTCATCTACATAAGGACCAGCTCTTAAAGACCTGAGTCTATTCTAGGTATACCATCAATTGAAAGAAAAATACAATGGTCATTGAAGACAGGTTGAACCACCACAGCATTATAACACCCACCCACCCCATTTTCAGGACGCAAAAAGTTTTACATACTTAAAAGACCACTTTGTGATCATTCATGGACGCTAAAGTATAGGATGGTTTAAATGCCTATAGAATCACCTCAAATACATTATACATATTTAAAACATTAGCTGCTTGGGGACATTCAGAGATACCACTTTTCATAAGAAACATGGAAAGCATGTGGGCTATAAAGAAAAGCATATGCATATTGTCAATAGTAGCACCTGTTCAATTACAGTTTATTTCAGTATGGAGAATCCCGTTCAGCCCCTAGATGGCAATACTATCAAACAGTTTTTATACCAGGAGTACTTAATGATTAACAACCAGCGTTCAGTCATCCAACATACTCAAGGCAGCCATTAAAAAAATAACAAAAATGATTTCATTATAGATTCTTTTAATAAACATTTATGGCTTAGATCCTTGAAAGTGGAAGCCTTCAAACTGCCATAGCCAAAGGGAACTTGTATAGCCCAATGCAAAATTATGGACTGTGGGTTAAAAGTATGGAGCTCAAATGGAGGTTCATGCTTGGAATAAAAATCTGTCATCAGAAATTATGCTGGCACAAAACACAATTAAAATTAGCTTTACAATTGGATGCAGTCTTTATTAATAGGTTTTTATGAGGACAGTTATGTATTATACTTCGACAACTGAACTTTTAAAAGCCTAAACTTTACACCCTAAGGTTTAGTAGTGAAGATGGGGTGGCCACGCAAAGTTAAATGATTGGTCCTTATGTATGACAAAGAGCCTTGAAAATAGAACAAACACGGAACTGTACACATAAGATATAAAATACTTGGCTCTTTCTGTGTGTCTTTGTCTGCAGACGGAACAATCAAGATAGGTATTCTAGTGCTATTGTTTAAAAAAAACCCCCAATGAATTTTCATAAAGCTTGCTACAAACTGTCCTCTATTATTTGCTGCAATAATTCAAGATTCCTTAAAAAGCTTCCTTTATGGACTGCATCGAAAGG